ATAAATAAGATACGTTTCATATTACAACAATGTTCACAATGGAATCAATGCTTGATCACGAAATTTAAAATTGTAGATGAAATATTCAAACACTATTATACCAGCATAGTATACTACAAATAACTAGCGTTCGAAACGAGAAAATTTTTAGAAAATTTTCTTTTCTTGAATTTTGGCTGAAATTTATAAAAATTTTAGTTAATTTTACTGATTTCTTAGAAAATTTCTAGAAAATTTCCACATATTTTGATTAATTTTGCATTCAACTTTATTTATTTTATAATTTATAATTGATATTCTATATGTTTAGTATAGATGTTGATTAAATGCTGTATTAACCAAAATGAACTTAAGTTAAATGTAATTTTGAATTTCATTTTGTTTGACTATTGTAATTAACAATTTCACTAAATTATTAATTCCAATTAATTTATTGAAATTATCATGTATTTATTTTAATACAGAATTTCTATTGAATTTCATATAAGAATTTTATTTATGTTAGCTTGTTTTGTTATACCACTCCATCTGGGAAATGGTTCCTAACACTCACTCCAACACTAATGCTATAATAAACTATTATTTAATATAATATAACTTTTTAATGATAATTTATAATTTAATGTTTTGTAACACTCCAATTGTGAATTTTATAAATATGGTTGTTGCAATCTCATTTTATATACAGTACCTTGCACCAAAGTATAACTTTAGTTCTTAAGTGTACTGAAGTGTATCAGAATATATTTAATAGCCATGTATTATCAATTTGTTTATTGTTAAACATTAAGTACTTTTGTACAATTGAAAACAATGTTTATTTGCTTATTTATAATTCCTTACAGTGATAAAAATGTTAGTTATTTGTAGCGTTCGAAAATTTTTGAAATTTTCGAAACTTAAGAAAATTATAAATTATCATTAAAAAGTTATGTTATATTAAATAATAGTTTATTATAGCATTAGTGTTGGAGTGAGTGTTAGGAACCATTTCCCAGATGGATTGGTATAACAAAACAAGCTAACATAAATAAAATTCTTATATGAAATTCAATAGAAATTCTGTATTAAAATAAATACATGATAATTTCAATAAATTAATTGGAATTAATAATTTAGTGAAATTGTTAATTACAATAGTCAAACAAAATGAAATTCAAAATTACATTTAACTTAAGTTCATTTTGGTTAATACAGCATTTAATCAACATCTATACTAAACATATAGAATATCAATTATAAATTATAAAATAAATAAAGTTGAATGCAAAATTAATCAAAATATGTGGAAATTTTCTAGAAATTTTCTAAGAAATCAGTAAAATTAACTAAAATTTTTATAAATTTCAGCCAAAATTCAAGAAAAGAAAATTTTCTAAAAATTTTCTCGTTTCGAACGCTAGTTATTTGTAGTATACTATGCTGGTATAATAGTGTTTGAATATTTCATCTACAATTTTAAATTTCGTGATCAAGCATTGATTCCATTGTGAACATTGTTGTAATATGAAACGTATCTTATTTATATATCTGTTATTAAGGTAAACCAATGAAACAACTTTTAAAAATAAATATAATCTTGTCATTCGTGACTATATTTGGCATTAAAGTAATTCGTGCGTTTTAAAAATTACTATAGTTGATATAGGTCGTCTTAAAATACGTACAACATATTTAGGTCATCTTAAAATACGCGCTACCTATTTAGGTCACTTCTAAATATAACCCGGAAATGGATATTTTAAGCCTAATTCAGGTTGTTTTAATTAGGTCAATTCTATATTTAACAATTATATAGTTATTTTTAGGTACTAGAAGTTAAAAATAACTAGTACTTAAACAAATCCTGTTTACAAAATAGTTCATTTCAAGTTGAGTGCTTCAGGTGTTCAGATTAGGTCAATTCTATATTTAACAATTATATAGTTATTTTTAGGTACTAGAAGTTAAAAATAACTAGTACTTAAACAAATCCTGTTTACAAAATAGTTCATTTCAAGTTGAGTGCTTCAGGTGTTCAGATTACGAATATATGTGCCAAATTTAATTTAGGTTGCAATTTAAATTTAGATGAAATTTTAACGAACGATTATTACTTGTGTTTAACTAAGAAAAAGTTTAATAGGATTAAATACAGTGGTCTTACAGCCAAATATTTTGATACTAAGATTACATTTATGTTGTTTTCCACTGGCAATGTTATAATTACCGGCGCAAAAACATGTGAAAGTATTGAAAATGCAGCATTTAAACTAGCTTTTACCCTACATTATATTGGTCCTTATGAAGCAAAAGTAGTAAATCTTAAAATTACAAATTACTGTGGATCATATCGATTTGGCTCAAATATTGATATAAATAGAATATGTACTGAGAGATCAACCCAATGCGATTCTAACCCTGAATTATTCACCTCAATAAAATATATAATTGATAACAAAAAGCTAACCTTAACGCATAAAGGAGTATTATTTGGGACGGGTTTTAAAACAAAAGACCATATGACAGATATATTTAACAAAGGTATA